TTAAAAGAGTCCATGTCCCTACTCTTGGACACCTAGCATTTCAGAAGAGGAAACAGATCATGAACAGGCCGTGACAAGATAAACAATACTGGGTGGAGTGTCAGTTACTATTAGACAGGTCAGCAAAGAGATGAAGGCATTGATGGAGAAGGATACTGAGTGCTCCTTGGAAGGGGTACACATGTGGGCTTCTCTGCAGTCGGTACAAGTGCGAGGTCCTGAGTGACAAGAGGGTGCTGGTGTTCCTGACCTTCAGGAGGTGTGAGGGTGGGAGCATGTCTGCCACCGCAAGCGCTCCATGCACTAATATAATTGTCCCACCAGATTCCTGGTCCTGCACTATTCTTACATCTGTGGATTAAAGTCCACAGAACCACAGCCCATACTTTTTTTCCTGGAAACTTTTTTTCTTATGCTTTCCCAGTATCATTTCCTTGAAGTCAAGCTTCTTTATCTGGACTCTTCTGGTTTTCACACAGATTCCTCTAGACTCATTTAATTGCCTTTTGAGAATTCTTGCTTTCTTCTCTTTTTTTGGTCGGCCATCTCTTACAAAATTGGGGTTTCCTACTGAAAGACAACTGTTTCCATATATCTGCTTAAACAACTAAACATGCTTCCTATTACCTCAGGAGAAATCCATATGCACCCATCAGAGTATTTGGGCTTCAGATATCTTTTTGGTATGCATCTGCCATACTTCCTCTTAGCATCATCTGTTACCTAGGATTAGTGTTAATGTTAGTGTTAGGGTTAGGGTTAGAATTCAGGTTACATATCTTGCATGTCTGAAATTCACAGTAGGATCTCATAGTAGAGAGGTCCAAATAATATAATAAATAATTTCTATATTATATGATTGGGATGTTTATAGAATTATTTCCTCCATCATTTAGGGAATTCTGCACTATTACCAAAAAGCAAATATTTCCGAAGAAATTTTGATGTGTTATAAATTTTATATTTTGAATGTGATAAAGTCTATGTATGCATTCTAGTGTCCAGATGGGTTTCAAATTCCCTGTAACCTTATAATTCATTCAATCAAAAAGCAAATGGAAATTTAATAGTTCTGTACCTTCAGAAAATATTTTAATGAGTTTTATCTCATGAATAAATGAAACAACTTTTCTTTGTTTAATTATTTGTATAGATATCTTTCCTATTATTTAGATTTCAGATGTGTTTAAATTTAAAGCAGGAAAAAATTAATATCTAATTTCTGTGATGTGTGCATGCACAGGAACCCACCGGTTTAAATGTATATTAAATAAACGTGAAGTATATAAGTGAAAGTTAGCTAAACTTCCTAACAGAATGGAACAACTTAATCACCCCATTTAACTACCACAGAGGTGACATTAACGTTTCGAACGTTTGAATTTAGGTTGATCTGCCTTGATGTTTCTCATCAAGTGTTTTATTTAGAGCTGTAGGAGAATTTAGTGAGCACAGCAATGTCCATGATCCTTGAACTATAAACAAAGATTGTATGTTTCTGCTCATGTATTAATTTTTAAAAGTCAGAATCTCAAAAATGTAGGTGGCCTTAAAATACTAGGGAGCATTAGGAATTATTTACTGTCTCCTTCTTTGTTCCACCCTACTCTGACAGGTCTCAGGATTACAGCTTTCAGGTGTTAGAGTTGGCTATGTTTGTGGGTGGCACTGAACACTTATTAATAAAGATAAAAACCACTTATATTAATGACCTTCCCGGTTCATCAACCTGGCATATTTTTTGGAAGTGTTAACCTACTTCATCTTGTTTGATTCTGCTTTAAAGAGCAATGTTTGCTGGATAGTACAGATGTTAGGCAAGGATTTCATAACTCATAGCTGGGCTACTTGTGCTAGACTTCATCTTGTGCCTAGATTCCTTGATTTTGATTTATGTTTTCTAATTACTGATCATGTCTTCTGAACACACAAACATCACTGGACCACTGAAATGTCTCTGTCTTGTTCATTATCTTATTTTCTCCTCCTCCTCCTCCTCCTCCTCCTCCTCCTCCTTCTTCTTCTCTTTCTTCTTCTCTTTCTTCTTCTCCTCCTCCTTCTCCTTTTCCTTCTCTTTTTCCTTCTCCTTCTTCTCCTCCTCTTACTCCTACTCCTACTCATTCTTCTTCTATCACACTTTGTCTTCTTATCCTCTTGATGTGGATCCCACAGATTACACTTTTGGCTCTTTTCTTTTATTATTGCTTTTTAATTTCTTCACATACAATCTTCATAAAATTCTAATACTAATTTATAGACTTAAACACCATTTCTGTCAGACAACTTATTACAAAATATGTATGTGGCAAATATTAGAGACACAAATCTAAGTAAGTCTCAAGGCTTTGCCTCCCAGAATTTATTTTTTTGAACCAAGGAAACACATGTAACTAGGTCAGCACAATACAATGCATTGTGATAAGTCTGGTTATATAATTATTTAGAGATCCCCAAGGAGGCAGATCACTTTAGCTGGACAGAGGGGAGGGGAGCTAACACTACAAAAAATACCACAGAGAGTCCAGTCTTGGAAGAGGAATGGACTGGAGAGTTTATGGGCTGGAGGTTTCAAAACATCTTTTGAGTGGAAAATGCTACCTCTTATCTCAGAGATCTGAAATGCTTATATTGGTGGTTTCCCAACACACATAGATACTAATTGTCAGCTTTTCAACCTTACAAATACACTGCATTTTCTGATGGGCTTTCCTTCAGTATGAGACTAGATGAGCCTTGATTTGTCTCCTTGCTAGCTCTGTGAACATTCACCAAGGAAAATGAATCTCTGGCAGTCTCCATTTCTGCAGGACAAATCAAGATGTGCACGCCATTATCATTCAAGTGGCCTTGTACCCCCAACCCCTGAAGTAAAGAGGGTAACATCAAAAAGAATTTGAAAGTATAATTAATACTGAGACACATTTATAAATTTGAATATTTATCATTCAAGGGTTGCTCTTCATTTCCTGAGTTAATAAACAACTCGGGATGTTTCTTCATTTCCTCCAGCACATTTCAATAGAATAAAACGGTGAAATGCTGCAGGAAAATTGACGCTGCTCGAGACCATAATGTTAAGTGAGATAAATCAGACACACAGGCTTAAATATCACATGATTACTCTGACAGGAGAAACTCAGAATACAAATAAAGAGCAAAATAAAGATGGATATAGGAAATAGGGCAATAGATCTTTTCCAAATGGGAAGGAGATCAAGAGATGGAAGAAAGGGGGAAGAAAGAGGGGTTGGGAGGAAGGAAGAATGAAGATGTGCTATGTACATGTACAGACTCCCCGCAGGAAATGTAATCATTATGGACCACAACATGGACTAAAACCCAATAAAGATGGAAAGAAGGAAAAATAATCTATACAGTCTGTGAAAAAGATAATCCAACTTTGAATTAAAGAACAAGTTTGATATTCCTAAAACTGTGTTGGTTTGTTGCCAAAGAATAACTGACTTCTCATACTGCACCCTGATGAAACGTCAGTAAAATCTGAAGTATACCTAAACTCAGTGTTTTGGGTTGCTTGCTATGTGAGGTCATCCACAATAAAAGGCAAGAGTAACATGCTCTTATTGGAAAGTGTCATAAAACTCAGAGGCAACTCTATATTTGGAAAATTCTAAGGGTGTCTTGCAAACAACTGAAATGGCTCATCTAGTGAAGGGGGTATTGTAGCTTCCTTGGAATTCTAAGTATGTATCTTCTTCATCCCCCTCTACCTTCTGCTTTTATTCCAATCTTGCTTTTACTAAATGAATAGAGATTTGGACATTTTTGCATTGTATCCTTTAATATTCATATTCTCATACCTCTTCTATTTGCATAAACCCGGTTAGAGTTATGTACTTAGTGCTTGATTTAAATCCAGTCAAAATTCTCTTTGAAGGCTGAGATCGATACAGACAGAAGTTAAGGAATCAGAAGTTATGGCTTGGAATCCTGTTTCACATGACCTTATTTGGGTAAATCACTTGGTTTCATTGAACTTCTATTCCTTGAGCCCATTTGAAAATTCCTCACTTGTGACTCCTCCATGATCTCAGTTTTCCTTTGATTTGATCTATGTGAATTAAAGAGCTACTAAGCATGAGATGCTATAGAGGGTACGGACATAGTGCTTCCCCTAATATAGCTAAGATCATTCTTGGAGCTGTATGATCCAACCAATTAATTCCTTTTCCTCATCATTTTGTTCAAAGGAGGATGAGAGTGGCCAGATCATAAAGGTCCTATAACACGTGTCCAGAGGGCATTGTTCATTGCTCTTTTCAGTATGTATAAAGTGACAATTACATATTGATGACATTATTTTAAGTAGAGAAAATATTACTAGCTTAGCCAAATCAGAGAGCATTCAAAAACAGAACACAATTTCTATTATGTAAATTAATATAGTTCCGTTTCTATTTTAATTGCAAAGGATTTTTCCATTTGTTTCTTTTTCTTTATGGGTTCTGAAATGTAGTCATTCATTTTTTTAGTGTTTTGGTCTTAGAATAGCCTATTTTTCTAGATTCTTTCCAATGATTTTAAACATGTGTTTCTTTAAAAGCAACTTAATTCTTGCATTCTGATTCATTTCATTTAGTCCATCCAAATATTGGTATCTATAAATGTACTAATGGAGAAAGAGGATTTTTATTGGGTGTTTGAAAAGCTTTAATGTAACAATTTGCCAAGAGTTGAAGTCATTTCCAGAAGTTGATGTCCATTGTAGCTATGCAATACATTTCATGAAATTTATTCAAACACTTAGTTTGAAGAGCCTCAGAAAAATAAGAACCAAATACTTAGCTAAATAATGATCCTCCATTCCCTTCTGTCCTGAATTATAATATCTTATTTTCTGGATATTTGTATTCTGATTTAACAACTTTCTTCAAATTTGTATCTGAGTATTTCAGACAATTACTAAAAAGAGATGCACATGGATTGAGGTTAACTGAGAATATTAATATTACTTTGCTATATTATTTTCATATGTGAAGGAATATTACCCGATTGACATGAAAATAACAAAGGCGAAACACCCTGCCTTCTCAAAGTAAGTGTGAACTCTTCCCTACTTTTATTTGATCTATCAGTTGATAGTTTGTTGTTTTACTCCAGAAAATGACCTTTCATCTAACTATGTATGGTACATAGTTTCAAACAATGACAGAGCATCTACAAAGCAAAATCTTCTTCACTAATATGATGTTAGAGTTCAAAGAGATAGATTTACTCCTCTCACTGCTGAAGCAAAATTCCCAACACCCAAAGGTAAAGGAGAAAAGGTGTATTTAGCTCACAGTTTGTGGAGGGTTCAGCCCAGTCAGCTGGCTCCCAGGCAAGCTGGCATGGTAGAGGTACATGGTAGAGGAGAAATAGTCCATTGTAGGGCAGATAGGCAGCAGAAAGTAGCAACAGCAGCAGCAGCCTGGCTCTCCCTTTTGCTCCTTCCAGGCTACCTGCCTTTTATGTGGTGCCATCTACACCCAGGGTGCGTATTTCTGTTACCCACATCTAGAACTATGCTGAAATATTCAGTGGACTGACTTAGGAATCGTGCCCCCTTAATCTGAGGATCACACATGCTAGATCCAACCACCTTCCAAAACTCTCGGCTATTAGTGCATGAGGCTTTGGGCTAGACACAAGCCATAACATGTCTCCAACCAAATCTTAACCATTCACAACCTGCTTAGCATTAGAAATTATTTTTAACTTTCTGAGACCCTTATTCTTTCCCTCTTTTTTTATTAAAGCTAATAGTATACTTGTGAGTTGCATTAAAAATGAAGAAAGCAACACAAATTATTGTATTTCTTCACTTCAAAAAAGTTAGATAAGTTTCATGCCTATAATCCCAGCATTTGGGAGGCTGAGGCATGAGGATTTTGGCAAGTTTGAGGCCAGCCTGGATTACAGAGTGAGTTTAAAGGCAACTTGAACTACATAGTGAAACCCTGTCTCAAAAAGAGGAGAGAGAAAGAGAGAGAGAGAGAGAGAAAGTAAAAGAGAGAGAGACAAGGACAGAGAGACAGAGACAGGGACAGAGACAGGGACAAACAGAGAGTAGGAGTAGGGAGATAGATCTTTCTCAAATAAGAAGCAGATCAAGAGATCAAGAGATGGAGAGAAGGTGGAGGGAGAGGAGGAAAAAGGGATTACAAAAGCCATTAAGCTGTGTTATCTACACATCCCCGTTCCACACAAGGATTGTAAATATTATCCATTGCAGATGTGTACTAATAAAAACATGGATATTTATTTTTAGATGTTGATGAATTGCAAGATACTACCTACTTTCTTTAGTGCCTGTGTCTATAGTAGATTGAGTTTAATAATAGAATCTTTAAAAATATTAAAAGTGTTGCTCTACTTCTATTAGTCTACTATTTTCAATACCTGCATACTTGCACACATTATATTCTATATATCTATGGTTTTTAATGGCAGCTAAGGCAGAATTTCTAAAATTAAATGGTTGCTACTTTTGTATCTACTTTTATGGACAGGTTTCAAGCAAATTAACTGATAGTTGTCTTACTTCAAACTCTCCAATTTTGATCAACATTAATTTAGCTCTAATTTATAGAAATGAAATAGAAGCTGATTATTCAGACTGCTGGCCAAACTGAAAAAGCAAAAGCAATTTTATGCGATCCCTGAAAAGAAGGAAAGGCCAGGGAAGTTCCTCATTTTGGGTTTTGATTGTGTTGTAGTGTGGAGCACTTCCTTAACTTCTGGAACTAAAACTTGCATCGGGCTCACCTTGTATATTCCTTGCCCTAGCCTGCAATCCACCATTCTTTAAGGAGTCCTGGTCCTTCTTATTGGGAAGTCCTATCAGATTGCAAGATCTGAGTGCTACATGACTGATATGGGTGGAACTGTGTTCCCCACCCAATTCATATATTCACATGTCGAGGTCAGTTTATTTACTTTACATTGACATATATGATTCTCACTGCTTTCATCTCTAAATATGCACAAAGGTGCACACACATGTACACACACACACACACACCACAACACACCACACATCAAAATGGCACCTTCGTGGATAATTTACTGATAAATAAAACTAGATTTAGCATTAAGAGAAACTACTTTTACCCCATATATTGCATGGGTATCTTGGTCACCGCATGCTGTCAGGCCTCCTACATTTTTGGTACAAGGACATAGTTTAGGACAAAGGCAAATCAGGTATCTAAATATTGCACACAAATATGACAAAGTTCTCCTTTTCTAAAATCTGGAAAGAGGCATCAAGCGCATACAGTTGAGTGAGAGAGTGGTAGGTGAACGGTTTACAGTGTTATATTTAAAATTCTTTATTTCTCTTCCAGATAGTCTCAACAACCCTGTGAGAGACGTGCCCAAGTACACGGACTCTGTCTGCTGTATACAAACAACCACAGAGTCCTTCCCTGAGATACTATTCCCTATCGAAGAACAAACAGCCAGACATGCAGACTCGGTAGCTGTTCTGATCCTCTAGTCAGCTCTGGTCCCCAGGGAGGCTTTTCCGTTTTCTTTCTTCTTTACTTTTTTAAAGGGAACTACTGATATTCAAAATTTTTTACATCAGACAAAGAGATCATGACTAGAAGTAAACTGCACATGATCCTGTATATTATGTTTCCCAGGGAATCTTCTGGGAGTGGAAACCAATGATTTCAACTCTTCATGAATAGATATGCCCTTAAATTATTTCCCTTACACTTTTAGTCCATTCTGTCAATGATAGAGAAACAAAGAGGGAACATATTTCAAGAGTATAAAGAACGCAGATTTGTAGTAAAAAAAATGTGGACAGAGTTTTAGTTGGATGTGTTTATAGCTACATTCAAACACAAATCAAAGTGATTTTTTCCATTTGTAGTAAGATAAGATTAACTCAGAATTGAATTCCTCAGCAGTATTATCATCATCATCATTCCTGAGTACAGTACAAAATTTGACCTTCAAAAATATTTGTACATTATTTATTCTCATTTCCCATGCAATTATTCCAGTTCACAAATTCCTCATTCTATGACATGTTAGAATAACTTATTCAGGATACCTTTTTAAAATATGCTAACATTAAGAATTCAGTGGAGTTAAATGAAAAAAACTGAATGAAACATCATCCAAAGGCACATATAACATTACTATCTAATTTTTTTAAATGATAGTTTTTAATACACTGTTCTGCTAGGTAAGGAATATAAACTTTGATTATTAAAAAAAGAGTCACAATGTTTCATAATTTAGAATCCTTATGACCCAGCACTTCTTTATCCCTGTGGAATCTGACACAAGGTGAAAATGCAAGGTCCCAATGATATTCATATCTACGCGTGAACTCTGTCTTTCACGTGGCGTCTGTCATGGCATGTGATGTTCTTTTGATCTCACAATAGTTTTACAAGTAAAGTTTTGTCCTCTTCGTTTCAGCTACCACAGCATTAAGAAAACACCTTCATCAAGGTTACATGTGTGAAAGTCTTGCATGTTTTCAGAGTGCATTGTTTCCAGGGTGGTGGCATGACCCAGTCATGGTGGCTCGGGTGCTATGATGTACTTATTGGAGTATTTTAACTCTAATGAAACTGTGAATGCCGTCATCCTCATGTGAAGTAAATGGGTGGTTACAGTGCCATGGGAAATTAATTTTTATGTAAGATGGACATCAATCAAAAGATGGGGAAATAGTTTATTGTCAAGCAAGATTTCTTCAAATTCTGAAATACAAAATGTTAGAATTTGGTGTGGGTATAGATTGACCTGTGATTAGGTGGAAATTTTTGTATCACCCACTTCTCATTATATTATGAAATGGAAGCAAATAGTTTATAAGAAGAAAAGAGCTGACTGACCTGAGGAGGAGAAGAACTATCCGTATTTCAATTTGACCATTAAACTGGGACAAAGACTGAGTATTGTAAAGAGAGGAACCATTATATGATCTAGTGATTGCACTTTTGTATACCTATGCAAAGGAACCAAAATCAGGGTGGCTGACATATTCATTGCATTATTCACCATAGCCCAGATATGGAATCAAGTTATGTGTTCACCAATGGATGGATGTATAAGTGTGGTGTGCACACACTAAAGACACACACACAGACACACACACAATGAAGTACTATCACATCTTAAAAAATTTCTGCCATTTGCGACAACATAGACGGATCTTGAGGCCATTATGCTAAGTGAGATAAAGCAGACACAGAAAGACAAAGCTTGTGTGGCCTCATATGTAGAAACTAAAACAATTCAACTCATGGAAGTAGGTACTGGAATGTGATTCCTGGAGACCAGAGAAGGGAGCGGACACAAGGAATGAGAGAATGTTGGTCCAAGGGTACAAAGTTTAAGTTAGACAAGAGGCGTAAGTTTGTCATCCATTATATAGCATCATGATTATAGTTAATATTAATGTGCTGTATATTTCATGTATATTAATGTGCTGTATATTTCAAAACTGTTAGGGGAATAAATTCCAAATATTCACAAAAGGAAGAAACTAGTATGTGAGGTGATGGATGTTAATTAGATTAATTTAATCATTTCACAACTTATGGCTATACCAAGCCATCTGATGATACACATATAATTATTATTTGCCAATAAAAATTAAAATAACAGCAGAAGAGGATGATTCTGTCATTTCTAGGTCTTCCCATCTTCTTTGGTGTGTGAATGCAAAGAGTAAAAGATCATGGCTCTAAAATCTGTGTGTGTTCTCATTGACCCCATAAGATGCACATTTAAACAAGTTGAAACCAGTCGGATGGCCTCAGGCTGACAAAGAGGCAGATGTCATATAATCTGAATAGTTGAGTAAAAAAGACTTATTATATCCAGTTCCCAAAATTCATGTGTTATTCCAAGGACTTCCATTTTCATCCACATTTTCCTTATAAGTTGTTGTAATTACTCAACACCACCCAAATAGGCCCTACAGGATTGCATTTTCATTTTAGTTTGCCTTGCAGTTGCGTACGTAAAGAAAAATAAATACAAACCCTGAAAGACAGCCAACTCAAATATTGCACACCTGGCTCTCATTTGCTATAAGATTATCACTAACAGCAAAGATTCTTGACTTTTACAGCCCTCAATTGTGTGGCCTCGGCAGCAGTACTCCCAGTCTAACCTGGTTCACGCTGAACCAAGAACAAAAGAAAGCCCTCAAAAAGATCCACGTTGTGAACTTCATATTAATGTCTCCCTCTCCTGGCCCCTGAACTCAATGACAGCATTTAAAATAAAGGTATAAGAAAGAAAATATGACAGCAAGGAACATGTTGGTTTTCTTCCGTCCTCCCACCCACATGTAACGATAAAACTAAAATACGACAAAAACATTTTCCTTTGGCAGGAGAGTTTGCTTTTCTTTTGGAGATACCAAGGCCCCATAAAAGAAAAACATTTCTCTCTTGAGTTCTTTCAGTTTTAAAAATGTTTAAGATTTTTAAATGTGCAATTGGATTAGGCAATCATGAAGAAAAACACAATAGAATAGACTGCCAGAAGGCCTGCCTGCTGCCTAGGTGGGTCTACATTTACACATCCCATTTTGCCTGGGCTCTAAATTGTAATTTCTAATTACAATAGGCTTGCCAGTTTCATTGGCCTGTGAAAAAAAGTAAACACAGAGAACAGAAGCCTAAGTATGAGATTCCATTCAGAAAGACTTCCAGATCAGTAAGTCTAAGCCATTGGCTCTGAGTAGGACTGCTTCTCAAGGTGTTCCAGAAATTGAGAATTATGCTACCATTTCTTTCCTTGAAGGTGTAGATACATTCGTATATTTGAATAAAAACCTCATCTCATTTAAAAGCATCTACATGAATGGAAATCTTTCCTAAGAGGTGATTCAATGGTACAATTCATTTACAGCTACTATGTCTTGTAAAAGCTCATTTAAAAAATCAACCCATTGTAATTACATATAGCGGACTACAGTATTCTAGCCTTCTATTGTACACACATGATGCTAATAAATTCAGTTATTTCAGTGGACCCCCAAAATTCTCCAGTGTTGTGTTCCTAAAGCACACACGAATTGTGAAAAATCATGAATTACAGATAACGTTAGAAAAATAATGTCTATGAATGTCTATTTTTTTAGAGTCTAAACCTTAAATATACCATGTCCCCTGCAGTTATGCAATGTAATTTAATAAAATTCTGTATTAATAAAGCCTTAGAAGGTGCAGGGTATTTTGGTGGGACCTTAGGGACCTTAGGGTTTTAAGAAGAACAAAACCCAGAACACTGGAGATAGTCACAGCAGTACAGCAACCAGCCATGATGTGGGAATGCTGGTGCATCTGCCAGAGATAGGTTACAAGACAGCAGCCAATCAGCAGCAAGGACAAATGAATAACACTGTTGGATTGACTACTTGCAAACCTCCTGCCAAAAAACAGTTGTGGAGGATATTTGCGGTTTCCATGAAATTGTGAGGGTTTCCTCCAACAATTATTAGTTAGTTTCTAAGAAAAAATCCACAAACTACTGAGGCTGTGCACTCTGAACCTCGATTTCATGGGGGTATACTATTTGAGAAGAGCATCGCTTCATACTTGGGCAAATCTCTTGGTAGCCTCTCAAATGACCCAGACTATATGCAGGGTGCTTTCTTTTCCTTTTCTCTCGGGTATCCTAGATCCACACTGTACCTGAACTATCTACCCTTAGTTTAAGAATTGCTACTACCAATTGTGACTAGTTCAATCACAAGGCAGGGAAAGCTCAGTACATAAGGGAAGTGGGTCAACTCAAAATTGCAGGATATATTTATAATCATTTTATTTTATTATTAGATGTTATTGATACTGTGCCTATTTCATAAATAAAAGTTTTTCATAATTAGTACATATGACAAAATATACAGTGAATATTTAAATTTTTAAAATGTTACTGCAGTAAGACACACTGCCACTTTTCTTCTCAAAATACTGCCCCTCTCTACAAACAAACTTTTCCCATCATTCTTGTCACTTTCTGGAGTAGTTCTGGAAGTTCCCTTGCCTGAGTTTCTTTAGCTGCACGTTCATGGCTGCCTTCATATCCTTCATAAATTCAAAGCATTTTGATTTTGGTGCAGAGCCCAAAGGCACATGGTACCCAATCTGGTGAATAATGATCTACACCATTGTTTTATGAGCTTACCTTTCCACTGAATGTCACTTAGCAGCAGCATAAATTATCACACTTTTTAGTATGTGTCCTACAGACACACACAAAAGAAGACTTCCAGAATTGCTCCAGAAAGTTATAAAAGTGATGAGATAAGTGTGTTTGAAGCATGGTGGTGGTTGTGGGGTATTTTGAGATGGATTGATAGCAATGTCTTTTACTGTAATTAAAAAAGTAAGTATTCACTATATTTTTATTCAGACCTAGAGCATATTACAATGAGATGTGAGTTCCATAGGGCTTGGGCAGCCCTTTT